CTGACTTGGGAACTGAACCCAGGTCTACTGAGTTAGAAGCCCAGGTCAGAGCACACCATCTCTCGAGCATTTCAACCTGAGAGGACTAGTGGTGTTGGGGGACTTTCTCTGGCAATATTTATGAGGCATGATTGGAGCAGTAGCTTGCACAGCAGTTTCAAGGACAAAGAGGAAGCAGAAAACAAAGGAGCCAGGAGGAACGGAATTCATTGCCCACATCCTTCTCTTGTGTCCCTGAGTCCCACAATGCTAATAGGAGTTGGCCACTGTGCTGTGACAAATCTACCATCTTGGCTGAAGCTGCAGGAGACAGCGTACAGAATTCCAACTCCTTTTATAATTCATGTTGACACCCCAATAGAAAAATGGGGGAAAGGTATAGAAAAATAATTTATGGAAGAAAAAAATATAAATGGCAAGTAATTTTATGAAAAATTCAGTCTAGCCAGAAATCAAAGAAATGTTCATTAAAATAACAATAAGCCTGGTCTGAAGGTAGTGTTATTGCAATTGATTGTTCACGGTCAGCTACAAACCCAAACTTCCTGTTCTTCTCTTTCTTCCCTTCTCACTGCTTCTCACACTTGACTAAAAACAGAAAAGAAACCCAACTCAAATTAAAAAAACCCTGAAAATTGTGTCAGAATCCAAAACGAGGGAAATTACTTTAAAAATATGAATGTATTGTGATACAATGTAATATTAGGCTGGCGTTAACATTATGTCTGCAAAGAATATGAAGCTATTTAACGACATAGGAGCATTCATAATATACAGAAATTTTTAAAAAGCAGGAAACAAAACTGTATAATTCCAATTGAAAAGTGTGTGTTAATGCATAGAAGAAAATACTGGAAAGAAATCTATCAGAATGTTAATGTTTTTTTCTGGGTGTTTATTTGTATTGCTTTCTTTATCCTTTTTCACATATTCTGAAATTTCTAAATGAGTACATGCTATTTTATCGATGAAGAGTGCCCAACCAGAAATCAGGATTACTAGCTGTTTAAGTCAAGGCTACATCTATGAAATGAAAAATTCAGAACATTCTAGATGATTCCCAAGGTTCGTTTGAGCTCTAATGTTTCACGCATCCATTCATTCATTCAACAAGCATGTGCAGAACATCTGTATCGAAATATGAACCGTGTACTGACCCTCGGGCCCTCTAGAGCTAGACCCAGGCCAGACTGAAAGCAAGAAGTTTGAGTCTGGTGCCTCCTGGTGTCGTTTTATTTACCTTTTTCCTGGTAAGCTTTTAGTGACCTTATATACTCCCCTCTCTCCTCTTCTCCTTATCAAACCCTGTTTTCAAGACATAAGTCAGACTCGGTCATATGGAGGTGTAAATGACTGGCAGTTATCATAAAGGACTCTCTCTCCCAGGGGTACTCGAGCAAGTAGGGATAAAAATCTTAGCCTAGAAGTACAAGACCCTTGTGGCCAGATTTTAAGAAAAAGCTAGCAGGTGGGACAATAGTTGAGAGCTATCAGAATCTTTGCTTTGCGGTTCCTGCCCCCGCCCCCTCGCCCTTGCTACTTTGCCTGGTAAATTCCTACTCATTTCACAAACCCATTCTTCCCTGTCCGCCTTCCACATCTCTCCCTCTTCCTCTTTCCTCTGCACTCCCAGGGAACCCCACAAGCTGCTTTGTTGTTACAGTGACCCCACTGCACTGCAGCTTTTTGTTTGCATGTCTTCTTCCATCCTAGGCTGCAAGACACTGTGTCTCATTTTCCCTGTATTCCCAGCATCTACCCCAGGGCCCACCCTAGAGTAAGCAGCAGATGCACGGCTAATTGAATGGCATCTCAAGTGCCCCTCATCCAGCAGTGACCTCCTTGCCCTGCGGCTGGGGCTGCTTCTGAGTCTTTTCATTGACATCCCTTATAAAGCAGCAGACCAAATAGACGTGAAGACCACAGTGCCTTTGGGTTTTTATCAGAATGAGATAACCCTGTGTGAAGAATTATGAACTTCTCATCCCTAAGTTTCTAACCCCTAAAAATTCCTTAGGTTTTCTAACTTGGGAATGGCAACTCATCACAGGAGAGTAAAATCAATTTAATAGGTTGGGATCAATATTTTTAAGTGAAATAACAGAATAGAATAAAAATAGGAGAGAAATTTCTTTTTAAAATTCAAGTATTCTCCAAGTAATGATAAGTATTGTCCCATGAAACTTTTGTTTCAGTTACGTGTGTATGTGCCTGTGTGTTCTAGATCATAGTGGGTTACAACAAAAAACGTCGCAAGCCACCTTCCTAAACTACTAAGAGGAAAGGAGCACTGCCCCCGTGGCTGTTTGCCCATGGCTGAGACCACACTGCCTTGTGGGCACACACCGGGAGCTACCTCCTCTTTTCCTTCCACCTACCGAACAGCCACAGCCCTGGAAACTGGTAAAATCCTTTTTTTAGTGCAAGTTTGGGGCCCAGAGGTTTAAGAGGACAAAAGAATTGTTTTGACCATGAAGAAAACTTACAGGCTCATATCCACTCTCTCTCTTTCCACTTACGGAATTCCTGGAAACATTTTTTTTTTTTTTTTTTGCCAGATACTGAGAAACAAAGCCTGCGTCTGACAGGTGTCTCCACAAAGGCCGGCCCCACCCCTACCTTCACTACTGGAGCCCAGGCCTCCTCCCTGGTTTGGACTTTTGCACGAGCAGTGCGTCCAGGGCTTTGTGCTTCTCAGCCCTGTGGTGATACAGCTGGCATCATCAGGCCCAGGCCCAGAGGGGCTGAGTAACACTGTTTAAGGAAGACTATTAAAACTATCTTAAACTGGGTATCTAGCAGCTCCGTGTACAATGTCTAATTGATTCCAGGAGTAGCGCACGATAGGGCTAAGACTGTCTTCACCTGCACTAGCTGTGTGACCTTGGCAACTTAGTCTTAGTTTCCCCATCTGTAAAATGGGGATAGTAACTGTACCTACTTTATAGAATATTGTAAGGATTAAACAAGCCAACACATACAAAGTGCTTAGGACACTACCTGCACACAGTAAGCATTCAATAAATGTTAATTATTATTACTTAATCATCTTTTAAGTCTGTATGATAGTTATTATTTTTTCTGTATTTAAAGATAAGAAAACGAGGCTCTGAGAAATTAAGTAACTTGCCCTCCATCTAGTAGAGGCAAAGCCAGGACTTAAATCCAGATCTCCTGACTCCAAGTTCTGTGTTCTTCTTCCCCCAAAGATGCCCCACTCCAGCTCTAGGAGCCTGAGGGGTATTGGAGTAGCTCCTGTGCTAAACTTCTCAGTCTCTGCATGGCCTAGCACCCGTGCAAGAAAGGGGCACTCTTGGGTCAAAGGTGTCTGGAGGGATGGTGAGCCCAGAGGGAGTCCCCTCTTGTGATTTTGCTTGGGGCCCCAGAACTTAGTCTTTGGGGAGGTATATACCTAGGGGAGATATATGTATATATATATATATATATATATATATTTTATTTTTATTTTTTATTTATTTATTTTTTCTTTTTAAAAAATACGATCGGGAATCAGAAATCGGTGTCATTGCTTGCACTGGCCACCCAAAGCCATTCTTTTTGAGTTCTAGGCTAATTGGACAGTGATGAGCATTCAGGGTAGAATCCTTATGCCTTCAATTAACATTTTCATAAAAATGTCTCTCAATAATTGAGTGTGGTGGTTTGAGATGGAGATGATAACAGAAGTACTGATTGACGGGCTAAGCAGCAGCTCTGCTCTGTGTCCTGTTCTTTTCCAGCAAGCAATTTTTGCATTTTTATAGTACAAAAACCCAATAACTGTCCCTGCTTGCTCTTCTCTTGCAACCCACAGAGGAAACTGAACGTCTACATTCATCCCCCAGTGTAGGGCCTGAGAAAAAATATAACAGTAATGGTGATATTTTTAACACACTTAGCATTTTGTCAACTAGAGGTCTCTGTAATGACCACACCATATATAAATCCTGTGAAAATAGGTGTTTGTATGATGTTCAGGAGACACTTAGCATTCTGAAGTGCTTTTTAAATCATCAAAAGATATTTTGATGTATTCGGGATGGTTTTGCAGAATTTAATTATAGTCAATTTTTTTTTTTGAGCATTAAAATCAACATGGGTTTTATATGGTAATTCTGTTAACCAAACTATTTGCTTACCCTGAGCTCTCTTGTTAATAAACTGTGCAATTCTCAAGCACCCTTTTTCACAGATTTGTGCCCAGGCTGGGCATGGGGAATGGTGAGGGATCTTGGTGGCTACTAGGACTCCTGGCATCCACAGGTACTCCTAAAGTGTAAGTGATCTTCAGCTGTCCAGGAGGAGCTGCAGGAATAGTTTCTGGGGCACTCACAAAGGATTAGAAAAAGGGCCCCAGTGCCAGGTCACAAACAGGCTATGTAATGCAGATAAAATAAGAACTGACTTCAGCCTCTGCCCTAAACTCACACCAAGAACTTTCTGAGGAAAAAAAAAAAAAAAAAAAAATCCCGTTAATGAATGTGCATCTCAGAAGATCTTCACACATCTCTACTCTGTGGTGCTGACTGGAAGCAAACCACAAGAGAGGATGAGCATCTAGTGATGTTCCCCATCTGACCCATGGAGACAGACAAGGTCAAACGAGTCTCCTTTCTCCAGGATCATGGGGAGACCTGAGGCAGCAGAGTGGGGGACCGGCACGCCTACTGAAACTCACAAGGAATCGCTGAATTTCATTTCAGCCAGTAGTTCTAACAATAGTTTTAACATTCAGGAAATGGGACAAGAGCCTTTGAAAAATCAAGAGTCCCTGTGATGTGAAAGACATTAAACCAGACCCGTCTTGTGCAACACATTCAATCCTCTCCATTTTAAGCGTGTGGACCCACTTTGCAACAAGAACAGCTTCCGATTTACGTGAGACTAAAATGCAGCAGGTGTATCATCTCTGCGCCCTCATCGCACATCCCCAGCCCCATCAAAGCCACCCCCGCAGGCAGCCATGAGCACTCAGCGCGGCCAGGGCCACCGGGACTCACCTCCAGCACGACTTCTTTCATCTGGAACTGCTTCTGCGCGACCTTATCTGAAGACACAGGCTCGTGGTAGTAGAGGCACAGCACGTCGTATTTCTTCAAAATCTGCTTGAAGTTCTTCTCGGAAAGACTTACCACTCTGTCCTTGCCATCATATATGGGGAACTGCAGCCCCTCTTCTGCCCTGCAAGAGGACAGCAAATAGAGCCCCACAACAAACAGGTGAGTTCTCTTCATTTGGGAAAAGTTTTGTTTCTCGGTCCCCAAAATACCGTGTACAGGAGAGAGGATGGAAGACCCTTTGAGGCCTTGTTGTCCGAGTGGAGAGTAGCGAGAAGCTGATTTTACGTCTCTCCTTTGCCCTTCCTGGGCCGAGAAGTGAGTCCTGGCTCGTTGTGTCGTGTAGCTCTAGAGGCCTTGTTGTCCGAGTGGAGAGTAGCGAGAAGCTGATTTTATGTCTCTCCTTTGCCCTTCCTGGGCCGAGAAGTGAGTCCTGGCTCGTTGTGTCGTGTAGCTCTGCAGTGGTGGCTCCACACATGCGCGTGGAGCAGGGGGGCCTGGGAGGCTGCGAGGCCAAGCCCCAGATACCTCACATAGCTCGGCCCAGCCCCTGTCTCATTAGGAACTCCATTTTTAGGATGCAGTTGTTTCAGGCTAAAAATAAATCATGCAATGAATAAAAAAGTTAGATATGACACTGTTGAGGGATTCGCTGATACAGTCTGTCAGCCTGGTGGCAAGGGAGGAGGCAGGAGGAAAAAGAAAAGTGTCTGCAAGTGAAATAAGGAGGCTGGAAAGGTGAGAGAAGAGAAAGAAACTCAGGGCAAGGAAGAAAAAATAAGAGGAGAGAGAGAGGCACATGGAGAGGTTAGAACACACAGGACGCCACTCCGACATCACTGAATTGTTAAATTACTCTAGGGAGGTAACTCAGCCTGTCCCCTCCAGGCGGCTGCTCATGTCCTACTGCTCACGTTGACATAAGCACAAAACAGAGCCCAAGGTGGACCTCCCGTCCTGCACCTGTCTTTCCCTGCTTCCCCTCTCCTCTCTTCTTAGAAACCCAGGCTTGGCTGTGCCACGGCACCAAGCCCACATGGCTCTGACAGTAACTGGGTGAGGGACACAGGGACACCTTCTCCCACCAGCCCTGCACACAAAGGGCTCCAGAGGCCTCAGCCTGCTCTGGGCCCCAGTCCATAGCTGAACCCTGCAAACACCAGGACAACCTATCCACATTTTTAAATTAAAATAAAAGTTCAACGGTCCCCATCAGAAACCCTCTTAGGTTTTCTGCTATCATCCCAGTTATGTTACTTTCATAAATGTTAAGTCTGAATGTATCATTTTGCCCCTTTCCTCTTCATTGGGACAGACTGGTATAGAGGATCTTAGAGCTGGATAGATCAGAGTTCACATCCCCACTCTGTGTTTTAATAGCTGATGAACTCTGACTGGTCTCTCACCCTCTCCAACTCTCAGATCCCCCCTATGTAAAATGGGGATGATTACAACTGTGAGGTTCAGGACACATAGATGGGAAAGCTTGGCTCAAAGTAGGTGCTCAAAAACAGTAGCTATGATACTTCGTTTTTGCAGGAGATGGTAGAACACTGGTTATTATAAAAATTGTTCACCAGTTTCTAATATTAATGATTTGTGAATCCTTTCCTGTCCATTTTCTCCTTGGGGTAGAAGTGATTAGTGCTCATTTCACAGATGAGCTAACTGGGGCTCAGAGAGATCAGCAACTTGTTGCAGAGTTACTAACTGCCAGCAGGAGAATTCAGCTCTGCCTCAAAGCCTGGTGCTCCTGGCTGCTTTGCGTCTAACTTTGGGCAATTTTCCTGCAGTCACCCCTCTTCTTAAGTGGCTCCCTGACCATCTCTTCTGGGCAAACAATGGTCTATTCATGTCTTTTCACTCTTCAGAAGGGTCTAGGGCCCTATGATTCTATCCAAGTTTTTGTCTTCCTTCATTTGGAAAATCAGCTTTGGAAATAGGACTCTGTCAGTGGCAAATTTTGCAGAGGCTACAAGGAACAAAGAAGTTCAATGGCCTCCCTGACTGAGGTGAGGCCTTTACTTCGGCCAGAGGGCCTTCTGCTGAGAGTCGGGCTGATGGGGACTGTCCCGACACCACACTTTCATGTCCAGGAAGCCAGGGCCTTAGAGAGAGCCCATCCCTGAAAGTTTTGAAAGCATTCAGCTCTTTCTAATGCTGTAGCTCTATGTTTTTAAAGATAGAGCCAAGAATAACCATTCTAAGGTACAGTTAGCTTTCCAGGACATTGGCAGGCATGCAAGATCTCTGTTTTCTTTAGAAAATTAGGAGGAAAAAAAGACTTCTGAATGAAACAATATGTGTCTTGTCTTTTTGAGGTCAGCCTCTCAAAACTGTTCCCAGTTGTCTCCATCTCATTGGGTTACCTTTATTTAGAATTTGCTCCACTTTTCTTAATATATGTTTTTTTTTTAACTGTTGCTGAAAAACTGGGAGATATTTGAAGTCAAGTCTTTGAATTTCCTACTGAGTTACAACTGGCAAAAACCACCAGGGCAAAGGGATAGTTTTTTACAAATTTAGTTTAGCCCTTAAATGTGGCTTATGACCAAAGGCCCCAGTTGTGGAAAGTCCCTGTCCCTAGATCATTGACACTATTTGTGGCCTTACGGCCCAGCCCAAAGGAGGCACAGCTTCTGCCATATGCTGCAGTGATCAGGTTTCTCCAGAGCATCCACTGGTAGACATAAGGATCTAAATTTGTGTCCCACTCTTGAGAAGAGGTAGGTTTTCATGGTTTACATTTTATGTAGTAACCTTATTTTCTGCCTGCCTTTTATTTTCCGATTTTTGTTTTTCCTTTGCCTTATTGCTCGCCAACTTTAATTTATTTTGGGGAACAAAGAAAGCTTCACACATTTCTGAGTGAAACTTGCATCCTGCAAATCAGCTGTTTCATTCTAGTTTTAGCTGCTGTCTAAACCAGCATGTCACGCACTCCTAGTTTATGCTGTCATGCTGAAATGTGTGCATCTTTACGTGCCATTGGCAGTTTTTTTGTTTGTTTGTTTTTTGAACAAGAAGGGGTAGAACAAAATTTTAAAAATGGGTAAAAATATATGTTAATTGTTGTCACAATATGTGACATAGGCCTCATGATTTGCTAACCGTTTCCAATCCTTCACTCTGTGAGTGGGAACCACTTAGACTCCCTTAATCTAACCTAGCCCCTTTCATTTGTTTATTCTTGACAGATGGCAGAAGGATTTTGCATGTATTATTTAATTTTATTTTCACAATAATCTATTTTACAGAGGAATAAGAATTTGAAGCCACAGTCTTTCTTTTATTTGCCAATTAAACACATTTCTATGAAGCATCTTCTACCAGACACTCTTCTGGGTACTGGTGATAGACACATTGTAGACCTGAACTAATTGAACTTATGTCCTAGGGGGAGGCAGACAATAAACAAAAAGCAAAACGTGTGCCTGGGCGCATGCGTGCGCGTGCGTGTGCGCATGTGTATGGGTGGTTGAGGAAAGCACCTTTGAGCAGGGAACATGGGAGCGGTAGGAGAGGAGGAAGAGAGGCTGAGAGCGAGCTTCTGAGCTGCTGAGCTGCTGAGGCAGGCCAGCCGAGGGAGAAGAGAGGCTGCCTCTACTCTCAGGACCTAAGGGCATTCCACCAGCTCTGGGGAGACAAGGCTGGAAGGGGTTTTATCTCCTCTTCCTTCCCCTTATGTCAGCATTCATGTTCTCTCAGCCCATTGTTTCTTTTAATGGAACATACGCATTGACCCTACATTTGAAGGTCTGCAGGTCTCTCTATATGAACCACTCTGAGTTGGCTCAGAGTGACAGACCTCGACCAGGACCTGTGTCCTGCCTACCTGTGTGACCTAGGTCAGTTCTCCTCCCAGCTCGGGCCCTCACATTTCCACTTTGTGAAAAAGAGGGTCAGACTGACTGATCTCCTATAACTCCTTTCTGGCTCTAAAATTTTAAAATTTATTATGAGATTTTCTTTTATTAGCATAGGCCTGGGCACAACACACAGGCTTGATGAAGTTTGATGAATGCTTCCTGTGGAGCAGGGTGCTGGTGGGTGTGATCTGGACAAGCCCAAGCTTGCCTCTTCTCCAAGGCGAAGATCTCCTACCACATATGCCTCCCAAAGGTCCTTTCTTTGGTTAAAATACTCCACCCAGTGGACAAAACAGAATATGGCATCTTTCTTTGATCCCGTTCCTTTCTCCTGTTCTGCTGGGCCACTGGCCGGGGAAGTACCCCCTGTGGGCCTGGTGGAGAGAGCTCAGAAATGCTGCGTCCAGAGACCTGGGCTCTGTGGCTTCACGCTTCCTGTGGTGAGTTCAGAACAGGCCTGTTAGCAACCCCAAGGCCCTCCTTTTGTCTTAACTCGAATTATCAGGTGGTTCCCAGGAGACTTCCTGGCTCTCCAGCACCAGAAAACTCCTAAACAGAAGCAAGCAGGAAAAGATCAGTGCTAGCTTGAAAGACAGACCCAAAGCTCCACCAGTACTATTCCAGGTTTTGGCAAATGTCACTTCCTCAGGGAGGCCCTCAGTGTAGACCCGGGGCTGATATTCACTCCTCTTACACACTGCACTTCTCCCTGGGAACTCCTCCCACTAGAGATTCTCTTTCTCCTCTCCCCGCTAGCTAAACTGAACCTTGCTGGGGCAAGAGCAGCCAGCATCTGCTCACTACTATAACCAGCCTGGTGCTTATAGTAGTTCTCATTACATTTTTATTGTGCCTGGCCTTATTTTAAGTACTTACAAATTTAACTCATTTACTCCTCTTAACAACCCTCTGAGGTGGATAGTTTTAGTATTCTTATTTAACAGATGAGTAAACTGAGGCACAGAGAAGATAAGTAACTTGCCTAGGGTCACATAGCTACTAATGGCAGAGCCCAGATCGAACCCAGCAGGCTAGCTCCTGTGTCTGTTCTCTACCACTTATAACCACTGGCTAGATGGCTCTCTCTGGACTCATGAAGTCACGTGAACAAGCCAGGAATTGCTGCAGAACAATAGCTGGCTGCCCACAATGTGAGACTGCTCATCGGGGACAGGTCCTGGTTTTCAGCCCTGCACGGAATCACCTCCTCTCCTTTCTGTCTATACAGGAGGAAGGGAGAAAGGAATTAATGTTTTCAGTGTGTGTGAAAACCAGTCACTGGACTCATTACATTTTATACGTCATCCCATTTCAATCTGTTCATACTGGGCATTATTCCTTCCATTTCACAGATGAGAAAACTGAGGTTCGACAAGGTTGTGTAATCTGCCCAAGTCACACAGCTGGTAAGTAGCAGAGAATAGATTCAGACCTGGGTCTGTCTGGCTTGTT